GATCAAGCTTCTCAACGCTCATGCCACTAGGAACTTTGGGCTCCTCCTGCAAGACACACAGATATGGAAAGCTTGTAGTCCAGTAGCCAGTTCAAGCACAAGGATCCCAAAGCTGTAGACGTCCAGTTTGTCACTCACAACCATTCCGGAGCCATGTATCCAGGTGTTCCTCAGATCATGGTCATGACATCGCTTAGATCTCCTTGCTCTACCATCCTTGACAGTCTGCTATCTTGACACCACGTCCAGGAGTATGTTTTGCGGCTTGATATCCAAGTGGAGGACTCCAGTGCTGCATTCCTCATGGAGGTAGCAATCTCTCGAGCAATCTCCTTGACTATCCTGAATCTCGTGTCCCAGTTGAGCTCTTCTTGCGACTTGTAGATCCACTTGTCTAGTGATCCGTTTGCTACGTACTCATAGACCAGGAAGTGGTGTGATTCCTGGGAGCAAAAGCCTTTGAGGTTGTGATGGATGCTTCCGATCGCCCTCACCTCCGCCTTGAAGCTCTCCAGCCGTTTGACGGCAACCTTTGATCCATCCGTATCCCTTCGAAAACCGTGCCAAAGCCTGCACTTCCGATTTTCTTACTGAAGGCTTTGGTTGCAGTGTGGAGCTCCGGGTACGTGAAGACGCACACCACGTCCATAGCACCGGATGGAAACGATGGTTTGTAGTGTTTGAGGTACGAGTTTATCTGTTTCTTTCAGATCACCCCATAGTTGCCACAGAGAAAGCCATGACGATGGCTGGCTTTGCCTTTTTCTGCTGCTTGGCTACTTTGTTCTGTGAGCGCTTTGGAAGATCTCCAGCTTGGTACAACTTAATCAAAAACAGCAAAGCTTGATCGGCGACGTTGCAAGTTCAGAGCAAAACCTTCATTTATCTGGAAACAGGTACTCCTGGCTTAGACTGCTTTGCACGAACAGTTTTTCATGCACAGGGCCATGCACGCTGGTGGAGTGACGTTGTGGAAGGCACTGGATTAATCTAGAGGTTTGTAGAAGTATCGTCCTTTGGCTTCGAGCAATGTTGCGAGTTCTCGCAAGTCCTTCCAGGTTCCTTTTCGGGCTTGCATCGTACTCCATGAACGATGATCCGTTCTTGAGCTCCGGGCAGAGGCATCCTTCAGCTGTCTCGAACGAGATCCCACAGGTTCGAGTAAGCAAGCTTTTCCCAAGATCCCACCCATCCGCGGTAGTCGGCGGTTGTTGATCAGAAAGCGCAGGTCTCTCCTAGCATGGTGAACCATCAGGATCTGCAATCTGATACCATGAT